CATTATTCCATTATATGAATACACCTCACTTTGTTTGTTCATTCATCCAGCAATAGACATTTGGGGTGCTTGCCCTTCTTGGCTATTGTGCATAACACTATTATGAACAAGAGTAAACAAATATCTCCTCCAGAGTCTGTTTTCAATTCTTTTATATAAATACCCAGAAGTGCGATTGCTGAATCTTATGGTAATCCTATTTTTAACTTTTTGAGGAACTGCCATTCTGTTTTCCAAACTGGATACACCATTTTGCACTCCTACAACCTGAGCACAAGCATTTCAGTTTCTCCACATGTTTGCCCACATTTGTTATTTTCTGTCTTTTTGATATTAGCATCCTAATGGAGGTGATGGGATAACTCACAATAGTTTAGATTTGCATGCTTCTAATGATTAATGATGCTGAATAATTTCCCATATGCCTATTAGCCATTGGCATATCATCCTTGAAAAAATGTCTATTGAAATCCTTTGCCCACTTTTCAAATCTTGTTATTGAACTTTTTGTTGTTGGTTTATGGATGTTCTTTTTCTATTTTGAATGTTAACTCCTTATCAGTTGTATGATATGTGAGCACATTCCCTCATTCCATAGGTTAACGTTTCCACACTTGATTGTATCCTCTTATGAGTAGAAGTTTTTAAGTTTGATGTGGTCCCATGTGTCTGTTTTTGCTCTTGTTGACAGAATATCTCGTGTCAGATTCAATAAATCATTATGATATATATAATGTCATGAAGATTTTCTCCTATGCTTTCTTCTAGGTGATTTATAGTTTGAGGTCTTGCATTTAGGTCTTTGATGTGTTGTGAGTTAAATTTGGCATATAGTATAAGAAAAAGGTCCAATTTCATTCTTTTGCATGTTGATGCCTGCTTTCCCCAGCACCACTTGTTGGGGAGACTGTCTTTTTTTCATCGAGTGGTCTCAACAGCCTTGTTAAAGATCTCTTGACTGTAGACATAAAATTATATTTCTGGGATCTCTATTCTATTCTGTTGATCTATATGTCTGTATTTATGCCAATAACACATTTTTTTTATCTCGTTAGCTTTGTAATGTGTTTTGAAGTGAGGACATATGAGACCTTCAGGTTTATTCTTTTATGAGATTTGATTTTGGCTACTTGGGGTCTCTTGATATTACATATCAATTTTAGGATTCATTTTTGTTTTTCTGACAAAAATGCCATTGAGATTTTGATAGAAATTGCATTGACTCTGTAGACCATTTTGGAGAGCATTGCCATCTCAACACTGAGTCTTCTAATCCACAGATATGGGATGTCTTTCCATTTACTTATGTCTTCTTTAATTTACCTCAAAAACTCCTTGCCTTTTTTTTTTTTATTCAAGTCTTTCACCTTTTGGATAAACTCATGTCTAAGTACTTAATTGTTTTTATGCTATTGTAAAGTGAATGTTTATTAATTTCCTTTTCAGATTGCTCATTATTAATGTATAGAAATGCAACTTATTTTTGTGTGTTGACTTATTTTATTCCTTTTCTAATTCCCCCAGGTGTACAGATGCATCATTAATTTGATATCATTTTCCTTTTTTTAATGTTAGCATTTATAACTATAAATTTCCCCTTTAGCATTGCTTTCTGGGCAACCCATAAGTTTCAATATGTTGTGTTTTTGATGTTTTATTCTGAACAAATTTTAGAGTTACAGAAAAGTTGCAAAAATAATACAGAAGATTTCTTCTGTTCAGAAGATTTCTTTCTTCACTCACCATCCTCTAATGTTATCATCCTATTGTCTTCATATCTTGGAAGTTTTTCTGTGTCTGGTCCACATACCTTCTTTAGAATGGGATCCATCCTGAAGGGCAACTTCATCTGGGCTATGCCATTCTTATGATTAAGAGCAGAAGAAACCATGGTAAAACCATGAGATGACTATTAACTTCTGCTCAGAGATGGATATGTGGCTTCTGCTCACATCTAACTAGCCAAAGCTATTATACTGGTGGCACACAGATGGTGTTCTTGCTGGCCTGAGTGACCAGATTCCAATGAGGACCAGAACGTTTCTCATTTTGGGTTCTTCCCCAAGATTTCCAGGACTTCCTCTGCCTCTGAAATGCCAATCTCTTTTTTTAAAAAAAAATACTTATTTAGTTGTATATGAACACACAGTATCTTTATTTATTTTTATGTGGTGCTGAGGATTGAACCCAGTACCTCACACATGTGAGGCAAGCACTTTACCACTGAGCTACAGCCTCAGCCTCTGCTAATCTCTTTTTCTATTCAGCATGGTATTTCCTGGAATCTGATCCCCACTTCACTGTTCAAATTTTGAAGAAACAGACAAATTTAGGAGCAACATATTTGGGAAGCTGTCAGTGTCTCTCTGAGTCCCTACCCAATATTTCGTTGTCTAGTACCCTTTCTTCTTTTCTAATATGAATAATTAATAATAATTCTTTTCTAATATGAATAATACACTTACTGAGAACCGTGTTCTGGTTATTTCCAATGCATTTTTTTTTCATATTCACTCATTTATTCCTTACAATAACTCATAAATGAAAGTACTTTTATTATCTCTATTTTCGGAGATGTGGCAACTGGTTTACAGAGAATAAGGGCTGTCTACGGTTACGGCTAAGTGATTATTGGGAAGTGACACGGGTAGTCATTCCCTGAGACATGTCCTCAATTGCCTCTCCTGGAACTGGACAGCAAAAGCCTTTGTCTGACTCCCCTTACTCCCCTAGACATCCTGGTCTTTGTACAAATAAGTCTAGAACAATGTGTTCCGAAGGAGGCTACATGCCATCAAATTCATAACTGGCTAATGTGGGGCCCGGATGGGACCACTCCCTGCGTCTGTGCTCATGGCAGACACTGCAGTCACTCACACACTTTGAACTCAGACCCAAAGCCACTCTCTTCAAGACCTCTGTCTGGGATCCCCTCTAAAAGGGAAGGGAATGCGGACATCCGTGATATCATGCATGAGCTCAGGAGACATCGTGCTAAATGAAATAAGCCAGTCACAGAAGACAAATTCTCCAAGATTCCATTTATGTGAGATGCTCAAAATGGTCCAACTCATAGAAGCAGAAAACAAAATAGGTTACCAGGAGCCAGATGGAGGGGGAGAGGGAGAGTCATTGTTTAATTCAAAATTTGGGGAAAAAAAGAAAAAAAGCTGGTAGAGTTAGCAGCAGAAAGCAATGTCATAGAGGTAAATATAAACTTGATGTCCAACAAAAGCCAGAATAAAAGCCTGATATTTCTCTTAAGTCAGTGTTCAAGGTTAGAGGATGGTCTGAGCCCTCCCACTGAAGTTCTCCTCTCTTGCATCCCGTGGCCATCATGCAGGGTCCAGTCACAGGTGTGAAGAGGCCATGCATGGCCTCCTGAATGGTCAAACCTCCATTCATGAATATTGTCAGCAATCAGTCAGTGATCTTGTGATGTGTGTTTCTAAGGGAAGTACTGCGAGATGAGGAAGGAGACTATGGCTTTCAAAATGTATTCTTTATATCCCTGAGATATATAGGTGGGGAGGGAGACACGGAATCTCCCATTTCTACTTCAAATTGATGGTGTGCTTGGATGTCATTCATTCATTTGACCTCCCTGGATTCTTTCACTTGAAAAGATATTTTCATACAGATATTTTGAAGACCACAGCATTCTAAGACCCTGATGTGCCATGAAATTCTGATAGCCTAGAAAACATACAAAGGTTTTATTTTACTTCTATTTGTTTGTCTATTCATCCTAGGGATTGATCCCAGGGCCTTATACACATTAAGCACACGCTCTACCACTGGGATATACCCACAGCTCTAGATACTGGGCAGTTCCCCTACCCCCTCCCCATTTACCTTTTCTCTGACTCCTTCTTACCATCCCTTGCATCCCTTCCAGAAAGACCTAGAGCTCACTGTCATGAGCCTTTCTTGTTGCATTGCAGATGGGATTAATATCTCTACCTGCTCCTCATTTAAAACATGTCTAAAAGTTATTTTACGCTCTCTCATTAAAAGGTGTGGTCTATGTACCCTAATCTTGCAGCGGGGAGCCTTAAACCATTATGTAAAATATCCAAGCATGTGGATAAAGGAGGAGTGGGAAGCGAGGGAGCTAAAGGACTGCATCTGATACAACCACCAGCTGTCAATGTCCTTCCAGACCAGACAGTGAACACTGAATAAAAGCTTCGTGCTGACCCCAGCCTTAGCCAACATCTAACTGCAAAGACACCAAGCACCTTAAGCAAGTGCTGCCGAGCTGAGACTGGTCAACCCCTCGAAGTTGAGAGCAAAATGACTGACGGTTTCTGTTGTAAGTCACTATCTTCAGACGCTCCGTGGCAGAGTCGTGGATTGCTAGATAGACACTACAATTTCAGGCACTATTCTCCAATGCAAACTGCATTCTGTTTTTCCGCTCAGGTTCTGTTATTCTCTTTTCCTCTGAGATGTAGAAAGCCATCAAGACTTTGAGTGAAAAGTGTTTAAGTTCATGCTGGAATCCAGCCAAAGTTGGAACGCCTCTTTCTAGACTCCAGAGTCCCAGGGATGCTGACTAAAATGAAGAAATGTGGGAATCTCTGTCATTTTTCTTGATTTCGGCACCCAAGTGCTTTGCTCAGCCAGACAAGGTATGATTTCTTCCTTCCTGTTTCTACAGAAACTGTTTCATTCCAAAGAAGCTGAGCTTATGAGAATAGGTATAAATGGCATACCCTGGTCTGCCTGGGCACAGCCCCCACCTGACCCCCCTCTCCCAGTCTTGGATGGAAACAGACCAACCCCCGTCCCTAAACCCATACTTTCATCTCCCAGGTCCCAGCATCACCCCAGGGCAGCATGCTGGCCCCCATATATTACACCATCCTGTGTAATTCATTCTGTGATTCATTCTGAATGACAAAGCTCTCTCTCCACGCCCCTTCCTTTATACTCCATGTCTGCTTCCTATAAAAGGCAGAGACAGAGCCATCCGAAGAGCAGAGAGCTAAGAACAACTCAGAAACCTCCAACTCCCAGGCTGAAGCTCGCTCTCTCTCTCTCTCTCTCATCCTCACCATGAAGGTCTCCGCAGCTCTTCTGTGCCTGATGCTCACAGTAGCCGCCTTCTGCATTCCCGTGCTTGCTCAGCCAGGTAAGGCCCTGCCCCCTCCACCCTGAAACACATCACCCCATCTCTGGGTCATCATGCCCAGTACATCCTAGGGGGTACCCATCGCCTCACTTTAAGCAGCTGCTTTTCTAAGATCAGGCAACTCACAGAAGGCCAGGAGTGAGCCCAATCACACAGCTGCTCCTGGGCAGAGCCTGAGCTAGATTCCCAGCTCTGGACCAACTCCAGCTCCTTCCAGGACTCGAGCTCTGGAAACATGCCCAGAGCTACTGCCCAGAGTTACTGCCCAGCGGCTGTCAGTAATCCTGGGTGATCCAAAGAGAGGGGCCTCCTGGTGGTGGCCTGTAGGGTATTTCCAGATACAGGAGAGGCAGGAAGGAGACCCAGAACCTGGTCTGTGCATCCCCCAGCCCAGCTTCCAAAGACAGAGGCCTTGCAGAGATGGCTGGTATCCCAGAAGCTCACCTGCAGGCACAGATTTCTCAGAGCCTAAGTTTTATGAGTCCCCTTACTACAGGGGATTGGCTTATTATCTCAGCTCCTCCCCAGCAACAACCATAGTGTTCGTCAGTTTCTCTTGTCCCTGTCAGTTGGTGAGGACCTGCTCCCGTTTCATAGCCCATGACATGGAGAGCGTTTACGGGATACCTCAGACACATCCGACTTGGGATGGGCGGGTTCTTCTCTCAACTTCTCTCTTCCCACTGACTCCTTCCTACCATCCCTTGCATCACTTCCAGAATGACCCAGCACTCCCCGTCCTGAGCCTTTTCCTGTTGCATTGCAGATGGGATCAACATCTCCACCTGCTGCTTTGAAACCCGGAAAAAGAAGATCTCCTTGCAGAAACTGAAGAGTTACACCAGGATCACCAGCAGCAACTGTCCCAGGGAAGCTGTGATGTGAGTGGCCTCTGATCAACCACCTTCAACCCTGAGCCCTAAGTCCTTCCCTGGGGCGGCGGGGAGGAGCGTTATCCAACTGAGTTGGAGCCAAACACTCAGATGCTTAGAGCATCTCCCACAGAATCTCAGAACTTTCCCAGTGGAAAAGGGGAGTCCCACCAAGGAAAGTGACTTCCACTACCCGCTCCCTTTCCAGGCTTCAGTTCAGAGCTTGGTCCCTTTATCCAGACAAGGGGGTTTCTTCTGGGTCCACAAAAGCAGCTGCTGCCACCTCTCCCCACTGCAGGCCCTTCCTCTGCCTTCCACCTCCTCCATCCCAGGGCAATCCCCTCCACCTGGAGCTCAGGGACCAGGAAGGTTAGGTATCCAGTGGGTTCCTCAGGGTGACCCATCTGATGGAGCCCTTTCTCCCCCACAGCTTCAAGACGAAACTGAACAAGGAGATCTGTGCTGACTCCAATCAGCAGTGGGTCAAGGACGCCATCAAACACCTGGACAAGAAAACCCAAGACCCTTGAACGGCTTATGCCTGAACAGAAACCAGGCAGGGACTGGAGGAGCAACTCATCTGCATCCTCTGTCCTTTTTTTTTTGAGAATTACCCTGAGATTAATTTATTCCAGTTCTAAGGAAGGGCTGCGAGTTGTGGTGTAATGAGGTGGATCATAATTTTTTTCCTAAGTCGTGTTTTCAAAGTTATTAATGTTTTAATTTAATCTGTCATGGATGTTGGTGTGTTTTGAATGTAAACCTGCCTTGCTGCAAGTATCATGAAGGACCTCGCAAGAATCAATGCGAAGATTTTATTTAAAATTTTTGTGATAATGAAATCGTAACATTATTACAAAAATGGAATATTTATGTGGGTATCACTTTTGCATTTTCACATAAAATATATTTTTGTATAAAACCTGACTTTGACGGCTTATTAAGGAATAAAGTTAAGCTGGAGAGACTGATGGGGTGGCAAAGAGGAGGGTAGGGTTGCCAAGGGTGGGGCTTGGGCTGTGAAAGAAAAAAGAATAGGTAGCCTCAGGGCTTTCCCCTGGGGACATGTCATCCACAAGATGACTGGTACAAGAGAGTCGGGCAGGCTGGGGCCAGGCTAAGCCAACTCCACAGCTCCATCTGACACCCTTCAGCTTTAGCTGTTGGCTTAGACGCCTTTCTTCCTTTCTCAAGTTGTTGCTTTTCTCTCCATCACAAAAGTATCTCCCCTCATTTACTGCATCAGACTCCTGGCAGGCTGGTTGTCCACTCGTATTCAATCACCCAATCCAGACTATCACAAACATCACTTGCACTGAGAAATCCCTTCTGCATCTGGAGCCAGGTATCTTAAAAAAAAAAAAAAGTTTCCATCTCTACAGATTAGGGAGAAGCAGGAGGAAGGTGACCCTGCACCCCAACAGATAGCACTGACAAATCCTTGACAGCTTGCAACAGAGGTTCTTGGAGACAGGGTTTTCAGGAACAGAGGGATTCCATGATTAGACGGGTTGCACCACTAATGTGCCTAGTAAACTTGGGAAAGTTACTTACCTGACTGGGCCCATAGAGATTGCAGTAGATGGATGGCTCTCTTATGGACCTCAACATCACTTAGACACTTGGAAAAATACAAATGTGCAGCACCATCACCAAAGATTCTGATACGGAGTGCTGGGTGAGGAAGGTGCTGCTTTTTATTAAGATCTTTGTCCTGTCTGGGGGCCACTCTGAAGTTGCCTTATTTTCTCTCTATTGGATTAATGTACTCTCTGGACTTGCCCACTGATTTAGACAAAGAAGTGTGCCTTTTTGTTACGATTTGGATATGAGATTTCCCCCAAATCTCATATGTAAAACAATGCAAGAAAGTTTTAAAGGAAATATGATTGGGTTATGAGAGCTTTAACCTAATCACTGCATTACTCCACTGACATAGATTAACTGGGTGGTAACTCTAGATAGGTAGGGTGAATCCGGAGGAGGTGGTGCATGGGGGTTTGTGTCTTTAATGTACATATTTTGTCCCTGGAAAGTGCAGCTCTCTCTCTCTCTGCTTCCCAATTCCTGAGCTGCTCTCCTCCTTCACACCATCTGCCCTGATGTTCTGCCTCACTCAGACACAGAGAGCAATGGAGTTGGCTTTCTATGGACTGAGACCTCTGAAACCTGTAAGTGCCATACAAACTTTTCCTCCTATAAAATCATTCTTGACAGGTCTTTTGGTCACCGCTGCAAAAATTCCCATTAAATCATTTTTCCCTGCCTTTTGCTTGACCTTTCCCACCTGCTAGACAAGGTGGTTAGGCACGTACCAGTCCTAAGGTAATAGTGAATGTAAATGCCCGACATCCATGGGCTCTCACACGTTCTCCATCATGATGAAATACTTGGGAATTAATCTAATGATGGATGTGAAGCACCTCACAATGAGAATTTGAGAACACTGAAGAAGATGAAGACAACCTTAGAAGATGGAAAGACCTCCCATGTTCTTGGACAGGCAGAATGAATATTATCAACATGGCCACACTACCAAAAGCGTTATATAGATTTAATGCAAAACCCACCAAAATACCAACAGCATTTTTCACAGAACTAGACAAAGCAGTTCTAAAATTCATTTGGAAAAATAAGAGACCCAGAGCAGTGAAAGCAACACTGAGCAAAAAGAGTTTTTTTTTTTAAGAAAGAGACTTTTTATTAGCATCGTTACAGGCAGCGTGTCGCGTGTGAGCTGACCCTCGGTGTGCAACCCACCGTCTTGCTGGAGACATCACAATACCTGATCTGAAATTACTGCAGAGATACAGTAACAAAAACAGCAGGGAACTAGCACTAAAACAGGCTTAGAGACCAACAGAATAGAATAGGAGACACAGAGACAAACCCACATGTATACAGTTATCTGATACTAGACAAAGTTGCCAAAAACATACATTGGAGAAAAGGTATCCTCTTCAACAACTGGTGCTAGGAAAACTGGAAATCCCTAGGTAGCAGAATGAAATTTAACCCTTCTCTCACACCCTGCATAAAACTCAAATCAAAGTAGATCAAAGAACTATGCATTAGACCAGAAACCCTGCACCTGCTGGAAGAAAACGTAGGCCCAATGCTCCAACATGTTGACACAGGAACCAACTTTCTTAACCAGACTTCTAAAGTGCCAGAATTGAACCCCAAAGCAGCAAGTGGGATAAAATCAAATTTAAAAGCTCCTGCACAGCAAATTAAGAGTGTGAAGACAAAGCCTACAGAATGGGAGATGATCTCTGCCACCTGCCCCTCAGAAAGTGCATTAATATGCAGAATATAAAAAGAACTAAAAAATATTAACATCAAAAAAGGCCAAATAACCCCAATTAATAAATGGGCAAAGGAATTAAACAGACCCTTCTCAAAAGAGGAACTACAAATGGCCAAAAAATGCATGAAAAAAATTCAATGTCTCTAGCAATTAGGGGGATAAAACTACATTGGAATGTCATTTCACTCTGGTCAGAATGGCAATTATCAAAAATATAAATAATTGGGGCTGGGGTTGTGGCTCAGTGGAAGAGCCCAGCACCTAGCATGTTTCGGGTGCTGGGGTCCATCCTCAGCACCAAATAAAAATAAAATAAAGGTTTTGTGTCCAACTACAACTAAAAAAAAAAACCAAATTTTTAATAAAAAAGAATATAAATAATAATATGTATTGGCAAGAATGTGGAATAGAAGGTACACTCATACGTTGTTGGTGGGACTGAAAATTAGTGCAACCACTCTGAAAAGCAGTATGGAGATTCCTCAAAAAGCTAGAAATGGAATACCATATGACCCAGCTATCCCACTCCTGGTATATATATATCACAAAGATTTAAAATTAGTATACTACAGGGATATAGCCACATCAGTATTTATAGTAGCACAATTTACAGCAGCCAAGCTATGTAACTAACCTAGGTGTCCGTCAACAGATGAATGGATTTAAAAAATGTGGTATATGTACACAATGAAGTATTATTCGGCCATAAAGAAGAAAAAAATATGGCATTTACCAAAAATGGATGGAACTGGAGACTATTATGCTAAATGAAACAAGCCAGACCTAGAAAGTCAAAGGTTGAATGTGTTCTCTGATATGGGGAGGCTAGTTCAAAATAAGGGGTGGACGATAAAAGGAAAGGGAAAGGGAGAATTCCATCAAAAAAAAAATGTTCTGTGGAATAATGCAAGGGGATTGAGGGGGAGGGAAGAGGGATGGAACAGGGAAGAACAGCGGAATGAAGCTGATCTAACTTTCCTATGCTCATATATTAATATACCACAGTGAGTCGCACCATTATGTACACCCACAAGACACTGTTAACAACTAAGTAAATAACAGAAAAATCAGAAGAGGGAAGGGAACGGAGAAGGGAGGAGGGGAGAGAAAGGGGAAGTTCTGGGGACTGAGAGCAAACTTTATTTCATGCTTTTATAATCATGTCAAAATGAGTCCCAATGTTATGTATGACTAAAAAGAACCAATGAAAAATAAAAATTAAAATCCTGGCACAGCAGCACTCACCTGTAATCCCAGTGACTCGGGAAGCTGAGGCAGGAGGATCACAAGTTCAAAGCCAGCCTCAGCAACTTAACGAGACCTTAAGCAATGTAGCAAGATCCTGCCTCAAGATAGAAAAACATATGTGCAGTCGTCATACATGTACCTAGGGTAATGATGTCCATCTCATTCCACCATCTTTCCTGCCCCCATGCTCCCTTCCTACCCTCCTTCCCCTTTGCCCAATCAAAGTTCCTCCATTCTTCTCATTCCTTCCCCCTCCCACCCTGTTATGGATCAGCATCCATTTATCAAAGAACATTCGGCCTTTGGGTTTTGGGGATTGGCTTTCTTCACTTAGCATTATATTTTCCAACTCCATCCATTTGCCTGCAAATGCCATAATTTTATTCTATTTTAATGCGGATTAATAGTCCATTGTGTATATATACCACAGTTTCTTTATCCCTTCATCTATTGAAAGGCATCTAGGTTGCTTCCACAGTTTAGCTATTGTGAATTGAGCTGACGCTACGCTACATCGTGTACAACCATAGAAATGTAAAGTTGGGCTGCAATTGCATACAATGAATCAAAATGCATTCTGCTGTCATAGATACCTATTTAAGATAAATAAATCAATTTAAAAAAATTAAAAGGGTTGGGGATGTGGCTCAGTGGTTAAGCACCCCCTGGGTTCAATCCCCAGTACCAAAATAATAATAATAATAAAAGTAATAACAAATTAAATTTTAAGACATTAAAATTTTAAAAATTGCATTTACTTGGGAGTCCACATGACTTAATTATATACAATCAATTGGGTGAGCATCTAAATGATGTAAGACACTTCCACATCTAGTCCCTACAACAACTTACATTTCCAGCCTTCTCTCCCCCCATCACGGTAGCCTTGGGAGAAATGTTCCATGAAGTCCAGCTTCCAGGTGGAAGCAGTCCATCTCTCTGGGGACAGCCACCAGGTCTACCTTGAACCGTGATGAGAGAAAAGAACATTGGTGGTGTGAAGCCGCTGAAGATGGGAGCCTCGCTTAATCCTGAACAACAAGGGACCTGGGACCACGGTCACCTGCTGCCATGAAAACCCTGACTAGACTTCGGACTGCAGGCCGTGAGGAAGCTGACTTCTCAGGTTGAAAAGATGAAGGTTCATGTTACAAACTGTCAAAGCTGTCAGGTCCTGTCTGCTAAAACTCTAGCTGCAGAGAGGAATTTGAAAATATATATTAATAGTATGTTGGTTGTTTATGTCTGAATTTGTCAAGGCCATAGGAGAAGAGCTCAGAGGGAAAAAAAAATCTCTTGTTCTTGAAATAGAAAAAGGGGGTGGGGAGAGAGAATAACATCTACAAATTCAAGGTCTTAACACTGTTGGAAAAGCAATCTGTGTCTTGGTTCCAAACATTAAGAGGAAGATATTCAAGAATTTTTTGAAATT